ACAAGGAACTATATGTGACCTCCTCCCTGGGGGACGGACAACCGAAAAGTGGGTGAAGGGAGACATCGGACAGGGCAAGATATGACAAAATAATAATTTATAAATTATCAAGGGCTCATGAAGGAGGGGGGAGCGGGGAGGGAGGGGAAAAATGAGGAATGTACAAATGTGCTTTACACAATTGATGTGTGTATGGATTGCGATAAGAGTTGTATGAACCCCTAATAAAATGATTTTTTTTAAAAAGAAAGGAGCCCGGCTCTCATACACTGTTGCGGGGGCGGGGGCCTGTAAAACAGCACACCTACCGTGGAAAGCGGCATGTCATTTCCTATTCCCACAACTGGGAATAGAAATATCAGTCCCTCTTTCAAAAACCAAACTTACTGTCATCGAATAAATACTGATTCACAGCGCCCCCTGTGGGTTTCAAAGACTGTAACTGTTTGCAGTAGATAACCCAGTCTTTCTCTCACAGGGGTGCTGGTGGTGGTTTCCAACTGCCGACCATGAGGACTGCAGCCCAACTCGTAACCACCAGGGCTCCTAGCAATCCCTCTACTTAGTACAAACTCTACAGAACTAAGGACCACGCCATGAGCAGCAATGTGCACCGCACCAACGCAGCCATAGTCACAATAGGAGGATGGAAACAAACCGCATGCTGACTAAGGGAAGTATGGATAAACTTTGGTACAGACATATAATGCAATGCTGAGGCAGAAAACCAAAAAGGGGGGAAAAATCACTGGCATCTACTTGATTCTGATTGATAGCTACCCTATAAGGACGGAGTAGAATTGCCCCTGTGGGTTTCTAAGACTGTGAATCTTTATATGAGTATGCCTCGTCTTTCTTCCCAGTGGGATTTAACATTGTTAAAAAATAATGACACTGTGACCATGATATGGATGGACTTGGAAAACATGATGCTGAGTGAAGTTAGTCGATCACAAAAAGACAACACTATATAAGACCAGTGTTATTTTTTAAAAAATCAAGAAAACCTTTCATACCAAAAGAAGTAGACATTGATAGTTACCACGGTTAGGAGGGGAAGAGAGAGGAGAGGCAGTAGAAGGGTTAACTTGGTGAGGGGGGAAAGTAATATACTCTACAAGAGGGAGTAGAGGAAACAAAGGGGTAGGGTAGGGTTGGGACAGGGGCAGGGTAAGGCACTGGGAGGTTTAATAAGTTGTTTGAATTTGTAGAATGAGAAAATAATGATCTGGTGAGTAAACGTCCACCTAGTTCACAACCCAACCAACCCTGGTGGCACAGTGACTGCTAACCAAAAGGTCGCCCACTTCCCCCCTACCGCCCACTCCAGAGGGGGTCTCTACCTCACAGACCCCATGCATAAGCTCTCATCACTAGTCCCAGGAGGTTCATCAGAATCAGAATCAACTTAACAGCAGTGGGCTTTTTTAAAATAAGAAATATGAAGTTTGATTATTATAACTGTTATAGTCAGACTAAACTCTTGGTAAGCTAGATTAAAAATAGGAAGAAGGTATTGTTTCTTTTAAAAAGTTCTTGCCATCATTTTCATTCTCACAAATCCCTTTATGCCCTAGAGCAGCGGTTCTCAACCTGTGGGTCGCGACCCTTTTGGGGGGGTCAAAAGACCCTTTCACAGGAATCGCCTGATTCATAACAGTAGCAAAATTACAGTTGTGAAGTGGCAATGAAAATAATTTTATGGCTGGGGGGGTCACTACAACATGAGGAACTATATTAAAGGGTCGAGGCATTAGGAAGGTTAAGAACCACTGCCCTAGGGTGTCTTCAAAGGAATATAAATATTTGAAAGTTGCTACCCTGATGGCAAACATAAGACATAAAGGTCTACTCCTAGGGAGAAAAAGCTGGGGGGAGAAAAGAAAGAAAGAGAGCTGAAAGATGCTAAGTAAAGGTTCTGGTCCATCGTCTACCCACTTGGGCTGCTGGGCGGGGTCAGCGGAGAAGAACACTCGTCCTTACTTTGTTTAACTCCCTTTAGCAGAATCAACAGCAGACATTTGGGCCCAGAAACAACTCAACTTTCAAAGCATGCACCTTGTTTGTTTTTGATCAGCTGGAAATTTTCTTCTCTCCCCGCCCAGATCCTGTCCATTCTCTCAGTGAGCGCTGGTTGGGAACACGGTCTACAAACCCTTCAGCATATGTGCAGGCAAGCTCAGCACCAAGTGTCCGGCTGCCTAAACGAGAACTGGAAACTTGGTTGCCAGGGGCACAGGCTGCTGAGAACTACCTGGATACCTGTGAGGTTAACAATGCCCACTGATGACAGGACACTTGCCCCCACCCCCACCCCCCAACCTCACCAAGAAGCAACAGAAAAAAGGTTGGGAAAGTCTCTGGAACGCCACCAAAAATTAACCTTTCTACACCTGCACCTCAGGAAATACTCCTTTGTACCTGTGTAATGGATTCTTAGACCTACACCAGTGGTCTTGCTAGTCCCTTAATTTAAAAATGACTGTGGCCTTGCCATAGAATTCTGTGGTTGAGACACGGGCATCCTGTGCACACCCTCAAAGTGCTGGGCGTTCTGTAAGACCCCATGACTTGACCCTGAGTTTGCATCTGCTTATCATGAGGCCCCGAGTCAGCACTCCAGTGGGGCATTGAACACAAAGCACCAGTGTCCTCAATTACCAGCATATCTAATGTCAGCGAGGAACAGTTTGAAGCATTCTTATGAGACAAACAGAAGAACTTAAAAACTGCTCCTCACAACTATTCTCTCTCCTTTTTTCTAAGGTTAGAGGGTCAAAAAACAATTAATAAACTGGTGATTATATTTTTGACCTGAGTTTAAAGTTTATTCTTCAAATAATAAATCACATTTTCAGGAAGAAAAAAAAGAGTAAGTCCTTGCTTATACAGGAAAAATATGGTGGGGGGTGAGGGGGAAAGATGGGTAGGAGGGCATATTCCTAAGTAAGCATGTATATAAACATTTTTATGTACGAAAGAATATTGAAACAAAGTCTACAAGATTCAGAAGAGACAAAAATCTGAAGAGAAACCACAGGAAGCCTTGGTGTTCACAATGGACAACAGTACTCCTTTACACTCTTTGCCCTGCCAGGAGACCTAGAATGGTGATTTCAAGCCAGAGAACTGATGTGTTGGGAATTTGTCGCATTCAAGTTTTGTTCTGTTTTATTAAATGATAAAGCTGAAGGTGGTAACTAATGTGACCCTTCTTTTTGTCACCATTGTATCTGTCCCGCTCACCCTCATGACCTCACTGTTTCCTAATAGCACACCCTGCGTGGTGCAGCCCCCTTCCCGGTGCAGCGCTCTTACCAGGACTGTGGGGCCGCCATCGTTCGCCATCTCTTCTGGATCCGGCTAGTCGCCAACCGCCATCTTCATCTTCCCCATTTTGTTCCTCTCTGAAGATGCGCCAATTTTCACTTTCTGATCGTATAAATTCATGCTTCCGCCCCACTGATGTTGGTCCGCCTTCCTCAAAATTTGGTCTCCCTGTAAAGCAACAATGGTAAATAAAGAAGTCTCTTAACAGGCAGCATGGATCTACCTGGCTTCTCCAAAGGCACCCACTACCACCCAATCCTTCTTAGTGAATGTTGTTGCTGTTTGGTCTTTTAAATCCCACCCCAACCACAACCCCCGCCCCCTATCCAGGTTTCAGAGCAGTTGGTAGTCGTAGCCTGGCACCATCTAGTTCTTCTAATCTCAGGGTTGTGGAAACTAATGTCTGTATGGTCCATGAGTCAATTAGGCTAACCGTTTCTAAGTATCTTCCAACTGTCATCACTCACGTCCTCCAGACAGGGCTCTCAGCTTAGCCTGCTGCTCCAAGCACTTTATAAGACCCCAGTCTCTACTCACTAAAAGTAGGGCACAGACTGTGGGCTACACTATGCCAATTGACCTAGGTATCATCTGAGACTACGGGCCTAGAGACTCATTCCCTCCCACAGGACCTATGTCCGAGAAGTTTTTAAAACTCTTGACTCCCTACATCATCAATGAAGACAGTTACATAGTAAAGGTAAATATCCATGCTCAAATCTCCTGTCAAATAAATGTTGGGGGGGGGGGCGGTCGGGGGAGAGAGAAATATTCCCACTTTTCCTCCCATGCCCCAAGTAATTCTTTCTAAACAAATGCTATGTGTACTGGTTTTTTTTTAAAGGGACACAGAGGAAAAGTAAACCTTTCTCCTATAAGACCAACCACCTGATCTTACACCTCCAAACTGTCCCAGAGTCAGTGCTGCATATAAGCCACCCCTTGCTCATGCACACAGACCCCACCCTCTGAGTATTGTACATATCTTTTTATACTCTGGTTTGTACTAGACAGTGTTTTATGATAAACTTCCCATAGAAACACATACCTTTTTAAAAATAGTTATGCAGTGTGTTATTATGTGATGTATTTTGATTTTTTTAACCAGCCTCTACTAGTGATTCTACTCAAATTAAGTGACCTATAAATTTCAACCTCTCTTTTACTTCAAAACAGATTCTAAACTCACATGAGCATATACTCTCTCTCACTGCCATCTAGTCAATACCCACTCATGGTGACTCTATAGAGCAGGGTAGTACTGCCTCTGTGAGTTGCCGAGGCTTTAACTCATTACAGGGACAGAAAGCCTCATCTTTCTTTCTCTTGAGGAGCGGCTGATGATTTCGAGCTGCTGACCTTGCGGTTTGCAGCCCAATGTACAACCACTATGCCACCGGGCCTCTCTCTTCATACATAATAGGTAGAGGTACCCCACAAATTGCTCTGGGACAGGATTCAAAGCTAAGCTCTCCTGCTCCATCCTCAGGGGGTCCCCTTCAAGTGAGAGTTTCTGGTAGACCAACTAATGTGGCTTTTGCCAAGGAATTCTTTAGGCACCATTACAGTAGCTGGAACCTATCATAAAAACGACGGGATAGCTCACCGACACCCTCCATTTACAACAGTAAAATTTACAGTCTCCCAGGGAAAGACAGCAGTCTAGAAAGCTACCCTACCTGACATTCTAAAAAGGCAAAGCTAAGAGGGCAGTAAACTGACCAGTGTTGCTGGAAGGCTCAGGAGAGAGAATAGTTAAAATTTAAATTAAAAAAAAAAAAAAGCACCTGTACATTTTACATGGCTTACTGTCAATTGCACCTTAATAAAGTAGTAAAAGGTAAAAGTCACCTAAGGGAAATGCTTAACACCACATGGCATTATTAAATGGCAGAGATATGACACAAATCTTCATCCTCAGGCTGATTCCACAAAGATTGACTAAGTCTGACTCTTGGTGACTTGGTGAAACATATTCCATGCTTTCCCAGGCTTAGAAGACCAGGCTCTGCCAGCCAGATGCTCTTGCTCAGAACAAACAGAGGATATATATATTTCCAACCAAATCCCTGGTACTCATTTACTCTTGAAGTGTAGCTATACCTACAAATATGAAATGAAGAAATCCCTAAAGGTGCACAAAATTAATAATGGGCAATGACTTTTAAACCACAACTGTCAGTCAGCAAAGACAGGCAAAACAAATGGGCCAGTTAAACCCTTGTTTTATACTGTCTTTCAAAAAGTAATAAATGGACCAACATAGGAAGAATGGCACTAAAGGCAATGTCAAAAACTGGTTATTACAATTTTTTCTAATAGGTGAAAAATTAGTTATTAAAAATAGCAATAATCTCACAACCTTAAAAATAGAATTCTATTTATCCGTAAGTAGGTTTTATAATTATTTCACAGAGTTACAATCGGTATGCCTATTACTTTATAATCTTGTTTTCATTGACAGTATATAATTCTGATGATACAGTCCTTGCTTTTCAACTTCTTAATACAACAGATTTGCCCAGTGCTATATGTCATTTGATTGTTTTTCTTTTTTTCTTTCTTTTTTTATTAAAAGATCATTTTATTGGGGGCTCTTAAAGCTCTTACAAAAATCCATAATCTCACACCGACAGCTTTCTCCCTTCCCCCACAGTTTCTGTTGTTCATCGCCCCTGGGGCCGGGGGCAGTATTATGTGTTGATAATTGCAATCGGTTTCCCCTTTCTCCCTCCTCTCCCCATCTTCCCCCTATCCTCCTCTTATCGCTCTCCCATTCCTATTCCTGGATCCCTTGCGTCATGAGCTCTTATCTCTTATCTGTGCCTGTGGAGCACATGCTCCCATCTAGCCCGCAGTGAAAGGCAGGATTGGGGTCATGATAGTGGGGGGTGAGGAAGCCTCAAGGAACCAGAGGAATGTTGTGTGTTTCATTGGTGCTATACTGTGCCCTGGTTGATTCCTTGTGACCCTTCTGTGAGTCTACAGATAGGTTTTGGGTCTCTGCTTCGACCCCCCCATGTTTTCAACAATATGGTTTTGTTAGTTTGTTTGTTTTGGGTCTTCTGATGCCTGTTACCCAATCCCGTCAACACCTCATGATCTTTTGACAGCCAGGCACCATCTGCTTTCTTCACCACAGTTGCTTATGCACCCATTTTGTTTTCAGCTATTGTGCAGAGGGTGAGCTTCACAGAATGCCAGGTTGTTAGAACGAAAAGTGTTCTTGCATTGAGGTTAAGCAGAGGCCCAAACTTCATCCACTATCTCAGTGTGTTGCCATAATAATAGGTGTACATAATACCTGTTTTAATGAACTAATGTATTTACATAGGTACACACCTATGTTTACACCTCTCTCTATAGTTTTGCTTCTTAGACCTACCTGTTTCCTTTTATCTTCCTTCTACCCTACCATCACGCTCGCCCTTCTTCTGCCTCTCGGTAATTCCTCTCAAGCTAGACTGCTGTTTCTCCTACACCACCAGAATCTCTATGTCCTCCTTGTTCTTTAATATCATTTTATTGGAAGTTCTTTCAGATATTATAACAATCCATAATTCAATTAGATCAAGCATAATTGTACAACTGTTGCCACCATCAGCTACAACACATTTCTTGTCTGCTGCTTCCATGAGCAATGATTGAGGAGTCAGGCAAAACAAGAACAGGGACTGTTAAGTATCAAGGTAGCAGACGGACATTGGGCCTCTACACAAGTCCTCCCTCAATGCAAGAACACTTTGTTCTAATAACCCGGCATTCAGTGATGCTCACCTTCCCTACACATAAACAAGTGGCCATCTAGCTGAGAAGCAACAAAGTCCACATGGAAGAAGCACACCAGCCAGTGTGATCATGAGGTGTCGATGGGATCAGGCATCAGGCATCAAAGACCCAGAACAAAAAATCCTATCAATGTGAATCAGTGGGGGGTACAGAGTAGAGACCCAAAGCCCATCTTTAGACAACTGGACATCCCCTTACAGAAAGAAGGGTCACAAGGAAGAGATCAACCAGTCAGGGTGCAGTATAGCACTGATGAAACATACAACTTTCCTCTACTTCTTTAATGTCTCCCCCTTCCCCCCACTATCATGACCCAATTCTACCTTACATATCCAGCTAGGACAAAGCATGTACACAGGTATACTTAAGAGCTGGAAACACAAGAGAATCCAGGACAGATAAACCGCTCATGGACAATAACGAGAATAGCGATACCAGGAGGGGAAGAGGGAGGTGGGGAAAGGGGGAAACCGATGACAAGGATCTATATATAAACTCTTTCCAGGGGGATGGACAACCGAAAAGTGGGTGAAGGGAGACAACAGTCAGTGTATGACATGAAAAAATCATAATTTATAAATTA